AGAGCTGGGTCAAATACGGTTTTGGCCAATCAGGACCTACTCATAGAGATGCATTGAATCAATGCATCTCCATGAAGAAAATTCAGCGTCTCCATGCTGGACGTGGGGACGCTGAACGGCAGGGCTGCTGTTGCCATTTTGATTATTAGGGTAGGATAACCAGGTATTTAAGAATAACCTTATATAAAGATGGAGTGAAAAATCACACAAGTACTTCTTGCTTCTGTGTCTTTATTGTAACTAACTCAGCTTCTGCTTCCTGCATCAGGAAAGAAAGGAAGGCGTAACAACAAACTTTATTTACACTCCTTTTAACCATACAATGTATAACATAGGTTACAGCAGGGCCGCCATCAGGGGGTGACAAACCGTGACTGTTGTCACGGGCCCGGCGGCCCTGGGGGGCCCGGACTGCTCTGGCAGTCCTGGGCCCCACTTTCTTTCTCTGCACCCATAGATAGCGAATATCGCTATCTATGTGTGCAGCCGCGGGCCCCCTGCTCCATGTTACCGCAGAGGGGGCTCAGGCAGCACACAGCTTCTCCTCCTGTCTTCTTTCTTCTCATAACTCTCGCGAGACCCGGTTACCATGGCAACGCTCCGCGGGTCTCGCGAGAGTTATTAGAAGAGGAGAAGTTGTGTGCTGCCTGGGCCCCCTCTGCGGTAACAGGGACCCGGGGGGCCCCCCACCGGACCACCAGGGATGGAATCTCCCCCCTCCATGGACACAGGTAAGCAGGGAGGGGGGAGAAACATTTAATTAAATTAATTAAAAATTAATGTTAAAATGCCCCTTCCTCCCCCTCCCCCCCCAGATCACACATTTACACAACACACTGCATACACTAACACACACATACACTGCATACACTAACACAACACACACACTGCATACACTAACACAACACACACTGCATACACTAACACAACACACACACTGCATACACTAACACACACACTGCATACACTAACACAACACACACTGCATACACTAACACACACACTGCATACACTAACACAACACACACACAGCATACACTAACACACACACTGCATACACTAACACACACACTGCATACACTAACACAACACACACTGCATACACTAACACACACACTGCATACACTAACACAACACACACTGCATACACTAACACACACACACTGCATACACTAACACACACACTGCATACACTAACACACACACTGCATACATACACTAACACAACACACACAATACATACACTAACACAACACACATTACATACACTAACACAACACACACACTGCATACACTAACACAACACACACTACATACACTAACACAACACACACACACTGCATACACTAACACAACACACACTACATACACTAACACATTGCATTCGCTACACATTAACACACTCTGCATTCACTACACTAACACACACTCTGCATCCGCTACACACTAACCCACTCTCTGCATTCACTAACACACACACTCTGCATTCACTACACTAACACACACACTCTGCATCCGCTACACACTAACACAATCTCTGCATTCACTACACTAACACACACCCTGCATCCGCTACACACTAACACACTCTCTGCATTCACTACACATTAACACACTCTCTGCATTCACTACACTAACACACACTCTGCATCCACTACACACTAACACACTCTCTGCATTCACTACACTAACACACACTCTGCATTCACTACACATTAACACACTCTGCATTCACTACACATTAACACACTCTGCATTCACTACACATTAACACTCTGCATTCACTACAAATTTACACACACTCTGCATTCACTGCATTAACACACACACTACATTCATTACACTGACATACTCTGCATTCACTATACTGACACACACTCTGCATCCGCTACACACTAACCCACTCTCTGCATTTACTACACATTAACACACACACTCTGCATCCGCCACACACTAACACAATCTCCGCATTCACTACACTAACACACACTCTGCATCCGCTACACACTAACACACTCTCTGCATTCACTACACTAACACACACTCTGCATCCACTACACACTAACACACTCTGCATTCACTACACTAACACACACACTCTGCATCCGCTACAAACTAACACAATCTCTGCATTCACTACACTAACACACACTCTGCATCCGCTACACACTAACACACTCTCTACATTCACTACACTAACACACACTCTGCATCCGCTACACACTAACCCACTCTCTGCATTCACTACACATTAACACACTCTGCATTCACTACACTAACACACACACTCTGCATCCGCTACACACTAACACAATCTCTGCATTCACTACACTAACACACACTCTGCATCCGGTACACACTAACACACTCTCTGCATTCACTACACATTAACACACTCTCTGCATTCACTACACTAACACACACTCTGCATCCACTACACACTAACACACTCTCTGCATTCACTACACATTAACACACTCTGCATTCACTACACTAACACACACTCTGCATTCACTACACATTAACACACACTCTGCATTTACTACAAATTTACACACACACTACATTCATTACACTGACACACTCTGCATTCACTATACTGACACACACTCTGCATTCACTACACTAACATACACTCTGCATTAACTGTACACACAAGGCATCCGCTACACAAACACACACTCTGCATTTACTACAAATTTACACACACTCTGCATTCACTGCATTAACACACACACTATATTCATTACACTGACATACTCTGCATTCACTATACTGACACACACTCTGCATTCACTACACTAACATACACTCTGCATTAACTGCTGGACAAACCCTCTATTCCCTCTAAGTCCTCTATTCATTGGCATGATCATATCTTGAAATCTGTTTACTAAGTTCAAACTTAGAGCTAGACTAGGTCAGTAATTCATGATTTTATATGAGATGCAGAGGTGTGACCCTTTTAGTTTGCATTTTCACATTTTAAGTTCAATAGATATATACAGAGAATATATTTGAAAATGGGTCACACCTCAAAACGTATAATTTTCTGCTGGCCTAATGAGATCTCTATTCCGCTTTTGTTGTGCTCACTAGACTTGTCTGTATTCAGACGCTCTAAAGGGAAGCCACAATAGGATACGTGGTAGAAAGATTTGTGGGACCATAAGCTGATATCTCCTCTGTCCTTCCAATATATTGTGTTTCTGAAACTTTTTAGTCTGTGCTCCCCACCCAGGTATCCCACATTTCCATTGAGTCTCTTTTCCCATAATTTTTGCTTTTCCAGTTTTCAATCTGTCAATGTCTCTTCGTTCTTTTTTTAAAGTTCTTTATTTCAGTGTCTTTCTGTCTGACTCACACTGCATGTGTCTCTGTTCTCAAACTTCTGCCTTTGTCTCGCTACTTCTCTGCCAGTCTCTCTTTCTTCTTTGTCATTTTCATCCAATTTCCCCCCAGTCCCTCTACTAGTATGTGTTATATGTGTGCAATGAGTTTGCTGATGGAGATGGCTGCTTTTAGTGTTCTGTGTATGGGAAGGCTGTTGTGTTGTGTGTGTGTTGTATGTGTGTTGGGAGCAGTGTCGTACTAAAGGGGGGGTAGGGGGGTGGTCGGCTCCGGGTGCCACCAGTTAGGGGGGTGCCTTCAGGCTCCAGGGCTGGTCAGGTTTGTGACTCTGTGAGCTGTGTGGCTGCACAGGGCGCTGGGAGCCACACAGCTCACACACGCAGGGGCTGGGAATTCAGCAGTACAGATGTACTGCACGGAGAATGGGGGCGGAGCCAACTCGGCGTGGAGGCGGAGCCAAACTGGATGTGGGGGCGGAGCTACAGCCAGCCTCCATTTGCTGCCTTTCACTGCAGCACACTGAGGGGAAGCAGGAAGGAGTCCCTGCTTCCCCAACTCCAACACATCAGGGATGCACTGCCTCCACTCCTCCACCAGTAAGTAAGAGAGAGAGAGTGTGAGTGTGAGTGTGTGTGTGTGAGACTACTTGTGACTGTCTGCATGCGTGTGTGTGAATGTCTGCCTGTAACTATCTGTTACTGTGTGTGTGAATGTCTGCCTGTGACTGTGTGTGTGCTGTCTGCCTGTGACTTTCTGTGACTGTGTGTGTGAATGTCTGCCTGTGGCTGTCTACCTGTGTGTGTGTGTGAATGTTTGCCTGTGACTATCTGTGACTGTGTCTGTGACTGTCTGCCTGTGACCCTCTGCCTGTGACTGCGTCTATGACTGTCTTCCTGTAAATGCCTGTGACTGTGTGTGAATGTCTGCCTGTGACTGTCTACCTGGGACTGCATCTGTGACTGTCTGACTGTGACTGTCTATGCCTGTGAATGTCTGCCTGTGACAGTTTACTGGGACTGAGTGTGACTATCTTCCTGTGACTGTGCGTGAAACTGACTTTTGGTGACTATGTGTGTGACTGTCTGCCTGTGCCTGTATGTAACTATGTTACAGTCTGCCTGTAATTGTGTGTGTGTGTGTGTGACTGTCTGCCTGGAGCTGTGTGTGTGACTGTCTGCCTGTAGCTGTGTGTGTGTGACTGTCTGTCTGTAACTGTGTGTGTTACTGTCTACCTGCAGCTGTGCGTTTGACAGTGTGCAAGTGACTATGTGTTTGGTACGGTGTGCATGTGGCTGTATTTGACAGTATATGCGTATAACTGTGTACATCTGACTGTATCTGACTGTCTTCGCCCTGCAGTGAGTCGGCACATAACATCATCCAAGCATCGGCGTCATATTACAGGATGTGCAAGGGACGTGTGCATGAAGAGCACAGAGATCCCAGCAACAACCACTGACTACCAGGGACTGAGGATCTACTCCAGCCCTCCCAGAGCAAGGTAGGGAGGCTGGGTGGACCTCTTAATTATTAAATGTGTGTATGTACATGTGTGTGTATGTGATGTTTGCATGTGTATATCTAATTATGTCTGTTTGTAATTGTATGTGTGTGTGTCTGTGATTGTGTATGTCTGTGTTTATGTGTGTGATTGTGTGTGTATCTCTGTAGTTAAGTATGTGTGTGTGTGTGTGTATATATATGTATATATATATATACACACACACACACACTTAACTACAGAGATACACACACAATCACACACATAAACATACATAAATCACAGACGCACACACATACAATTACAAACAGACATAATTAGATATACACACGCAAACATCACATACATACACACGTGTGTGTGTGTGTGTGTGTATATAAATATTTATATATATATATATATATATATATATATACACACACACACACACACACAATCACAGATATACACACACAGACAAACACCTATTGTGTTATTGTGTGTGTATATAAATGTGTATATGTTTGGTACATAGCTCCCTTATTTGGTGTCCTTAAATATTGCAATCCCACATAAGGATAACAAATAAGGGCGTTATCTACTAAACAACTGAAATTAAGAAAAGGATTTTTTTTTTAAATTGATCTTTTAGCTGTTTAGTTGATAATTCTCTAAATTGGTGTACTTAGGTGAGATTTCCATATTTAAAGATACCAAATTAGGGTGCTGTTTAGTAGATAGCTCCCTTATCCTTATTTGGTGTCCTTAAATATGGCAATCCCACATAAGGATAGCAAATAAGGGAGTTATCTGATAAACAAAGATTGACGTTAAGCGATATCAGCTAGCCCACGAACAAGAAATCAGGGTGGCTAATGTGAATTATATGCAGATTTGTTGACTGATGCCAATGTGCACTGCATGCTGGCATCAGGCAGCCAATGGCAGCACATTACCCCATCCCCTAGTGAAAAGTTTTAGTGCCCCCCAGTTTGGATTGTGGTATCTTATGTGCCCACCCCCTATATATTGTTCCTAGAGTCACCACTGTGTCTCCATGTGTGTCTGTGTATCTGTGTGTGACTATGTATCTATGTATCTGCATGTGTGTCAGTGTGTATTTAGATGTGTATGTGTATATGTGCATACATCTCAGAATCTCGCCAACACTACACACAAATACACCCCTGCATTTCAACATCAACACTACATACAAACTCCACCATTATATATAACCACACCACTGCCTTCAAACACCACACTACATAAAAATGCATGCCTGCATTCAAACGCCAACACCAGATACAGACACACAACCTACATTCACTCAAACATACTCCATACAAAAACATGCTTATGTTTAAAAGCATAAACACTGCTTAGTGCTAAATACATTTTTTTTATTTTTTATTGTGGTTGTTTTTTACATTTTAAAGTTGGGGGTAGAGGGGGGTGCCAAAAATAGGACCTGCCCCGGGTGCCAAATGCTCTAGGTACGCCCCTGGTTGGGAGGAAATGTTTGGGGGGGGGCATGCGTTGTGTATGAGTAGGTTACATGGAGTGATGTCTATATGTGTGTGTTGTTATTATTATTTTATTATTTATATAGCGCTAGCAAATTCCGTAGCGCTGTACAATGGGAGTTTGCTGTATCTGTGTGTTATGTGTGTGTGGATGCTACTGAGTGCATGTGTTTGAGGTTGTATGTGTTTGGGAGGCTGTGTGCACATTTAAGAAGAAGCTGATTGTGAGTTTGTTAGGCTGTTTGTGTGTTTGTGAGGCTTTGTGTGTGTAATAATGTGTGTTTTGCTTTGTTTGTTCGGGAGGCTGTGTGTATGTGTGTGGGCTGTATGTTCATTAAACAATGCCCTGCTGTGTACTCCTTGCACATGGTGTTACTTATACCTCAAGTTTAGAACCAGGGCACTTGGGATAGCGCACGCACATTTCCTCCATCATATAATTATACAGTGTTTTGTTAGCAGAGAAATTTATCAGTGGCAGACACCCCACACTCTGGTTCTACTATTGGAAATATGCATATTTTTGTTTTGTAGACAATTTTCTCTACACCTAATGTTCTCAGGTTTTCCAGCTGGTGAATAAATATTGATTACTGTTTGCATTACTGTGACACTGATTAAAGAAAGGTTTGCATGCATCAATATAATACTATAAATTACTATTAGTTAACTGATTAGAGAAAAAATTTATGTCGAGTTTTAGGTTGTAGCAAGAAATTCACACCCACAAAGTCAAAGTATGGTCCAACGTAAATATATTAAAGCACCTGCAGTTCACATGTAAACTTGAAACGAGGCCTGAGGTTATGTTCTTTAAATTTCCACTTCAATGGAAGGAAGTCGGAAATCTTCAGGCACGTTAGCT